TAATTTTGCAACTCGAGTATCTCAGGCACAGACGAAGAGCAGACACAATATAATGAGGTCGCTCACCAGCAACCGCAGGAGCAAACCTCCATGTGCTCAAAGCCTACTACACGGCCGCCATCAGATCGCTGGTAGATTACAGTACTCCAGCACTCATTGGACTGAGAGAAGACCAGACAGCTGCAGAAATCATCCAAATAATGCTCTCAGGACCATGCTCGAGCACCCATGTGGACCAGAATTTGCATTGCAAATGGAACTGAACTACCACCCCTGGCAGTACGAGTCAAGCAGGTGACAGCCGGTTCCTCGCCAAAATCTGTAGATCAGATAAGCCCACAGCTGCCAAATTCGAATCAGTGCCTCCTCCACCTTGACCACAGAGTGCGAGGGCCACCTGGTCGCACGAGGCAAGCGAGGTCATCCGACACCTGCAAGCAGAAACACTCGTCAAGAACAACCAAGACACACGAGACAATGGTTACGTAGTTCCTCCACCATGGAGCCCTCCACCAGCCATATTCAAAATTACCGACCTAGGCGATAGTAAAGCCAACCTCCAGAAGGAGTAACTCAAAAAATAACTCTAGAAGCCATAGCCACCGAGACACCGGCTGATGCAGCATCATACTTCACAGACGGCTCGGTGGATCCAAAACATCATAGATCCGAGCGGCCTTCTACACCCAAGGTCAGACCTCCGATGGAGACTTCTAATGACTGCTCCACCCTACAAACAGAGCTGGTAGCAAATCTCAAAGGCCCTACAACACGCTGCAACACAATACAACAAGTCCATCATAATTCACACGGACTCGAAATCGGCCATGCAGGCGCTGCAACACAGTCAACCAAGAGACAACGTCCACATCATAACCTCGATCCTAGCACAGCTACAGGAATTCCAAAGACAAAACCGCCCAGTCGTCCTACACTGGATTCCCAGTCATGGGATCGGAGGAAACGACGTGGCAGACTGAAGCAGCCAAGGCAGCTACACGTTCTAGTAGCGTAACATTCAAGTTCCAGCAAGCGTGCAACAGATCAAGAATCACCTCAGAAAGACTAGCAAGCTCCACATCAAAAGAGCTTCCTTCACGCATTCAACGCTGGTTCCCAATCAGCCAAATGGTACCTGGCGGCTAACAAAGGGGAACCACCTTTCGCTGACAAGAAAACACCAAGACAAACCCAAGTCAGCCTTCATCGACTACGACTAGGTACAAGTGCTCCTGGCAGATGATCGGAAATGACGTCATGGAATGCACCTACTGTCAGGAGCCAGCAGCCAACCCACTTGAACACCATCTCGACTGCGAAGTCACACAAAGCCTGAAACAGAACTCAAATCTCCCAAGAAGACACACACAACACCAGCGGCCACTCTAACCCGAAAGGCCCAAACAGACCACATTCACGACCTTCTCCGGGTCATCACACGATACCCACCACCCAGATAGCTTAGAAAGTATCCTCTCCCAGCAAGTGCGGACCCCAGTTCGGGGGCGCGCCAATCCGAAACTGACCATCAGTCCAAGAGTGGGGTTGGTGGTAAGCGTCCACTGATCGGGTCCGCTTACACTTGCATCCTGCAGTATCTTTCCAAATCTGCAGGTGGGACCACCTCCAATCACAATCCGGTCTGGCTGCTCCTGGAGCTCCAGCCGGAACCACCAAACGGGCCGCCTATAGACAAGGCCCGTGTCGGACTACGGTCCGAGAATCTCAACAACACAACATCTATCTACTTTTCGGAAAGTAGATAACCAACTTCCCGAAAGTAGATATTTCCCATTTTTATGATACAAATTTCCCGTTTTCTATGATAATCTACGCAAAATTAGGTAATATTTCCAAAATCGATAATCTACTTCCTCAAGTCGATAATTCACTTACCCGAAAATAGAAAATCTATCTACTTTTCGGGAAGGTAGATAACCAACTTTCGGAAAGTAGATATTTCCCATTTTTATGATACAAATTTCCTCGTTTATGATAATCTACTTCGCAAAATTAGTAATATTTCCAAAGTCGATAATCTTTTCTCCTTTCCATCCTGAGGGAACCAAACATCATGAACCCCACATGACCATCACTAAGGTTTATGATTTTAATTCCTAAATCAAACTAGCTTCAACCAGAAGTCTTTCTGTGACACAAGATGATTTAAATACTTCTAAGCTTTTTTCCCAAGCAATGGGATGATTATTATTCTTACCGAACGCACTGCTTTCAGATGCTGTTCTGATATTATACTTATGTTGTTTGATTCTGAGCTGCAGTGTTTTTCCTGTCTGTCCCACATAATTACAATTACATTTGCTACATGGAATACAATAAACACTTCCATTTACATTCAAACTTGGGCTATTTCTTATTAACATATTGGTAATGGTTGAGTCATACTTGAAAACAACATTAATATTTAGAAGCTTGAGGGACAGAACTAACGGACAAATCATTACGATAGGGCAGAGTCAAAATATTCTGTGTAGGAATTTGCCTGGTTTGAGAGGAATGAAAGGATTTTTAGCCTTTTAAACAACGATCAACAAACACAGAAGGGTACCCGGAGTTTCTGTGCAATGGAACGAATGTGTTTCAATTCATCGTCAATAAATTCAGAGTCACAAATACGCAGACATCTTAAGAACATAGCAGAAAAACTGACATTTTGGTAGACTCCAGGTGATTCGATAAAAAGTGAATGAAACTGTCTACCTGTGGGCTTTCTGTATACCTTAAATTTGTAGTTTTGGCCATTTCTCATGATAAGCATATCAAGGAATGAAGGGATCCATTTATTTCTTTCAATTTTGAATGTGATACTTGGGACAATATCATTAAGCTTGTCTAAAAATTCCAATGGGTCACTGTTTAGGCCAAAGACAAAGAACATCATCTACATATCTATACCATGGAGGAATAAAGTCACCTATGTTGGGTAGTAATCTAGACTCAAAACCTTAATAAATACAGGCTAGAGGAGCAGAAAGACAATTACCCATGCCAAATATTTGCTTGTAGAACTTCCCATTTGCTCTAAACACATTGTCAGTTACGCATAACTCTATCAATTTGAGAAAAGTATCATGTTCAATAGTTAAATCTAACAGTTGTAATTTATCTTTAAGAAATGAAAGTAGGTCTTTCACAGGTACTCTAGTGAAAAGTGAATTTACATCAAAACTTATTAATTCGCAAGGTTCATTATGTTTCTTGAGTTTATCAATTAAATCACTGCTATTGTGTATATGTGAAATAGATATTTGGCCTGTAAGAGGGGATAGCATCTTTACCAGCCACTTGGATAATTTGTAAGTAACAGAACTCACGATAGGACCTAATGGATTGTTAAGCTTGTGTTTTGATCAATCCATACATATAAGGTAAAGTTTTCATTGTGGATCTACATGAAATATATACATATATATATATATATATATATATATATATATATATATATATATATATATATATATATATATATATATATATATATATATATATATTTTCAGTGGGGTATGCTATAACGAATTTAATTGGTTCTAGAACCTGTTCGTTATAGCATTCGCTCGTTATAGGATTAATCCGCTCCAGGCCACCAAATACAACCACTTAACACTGAAAATATATAAAATTGTAAAATTGTAAAAAGTGCATAAATATGCATCTAAACCCTGAAATAACCAATATAATTAATACTTGTAATAAAAAACAATAAAAAAAAAAAAAAATTTTTTTAAATAATGTTCGTTGTAGGAGTTTCGTTCATATAGTATTCTCAATTTTATAGGTAAAACTGTTCGTTATAGGAATATTCGTAGTAGGATCCGCTCGTTATAGCATACCCCACTGTATATATATATATATATATATATATATATATATATATATATATATATATATATACAGTATATATATATATATATATATATATATATATATATATATATATATATATATATATATATATATATATATATATATATATATATATATATATATATATATATATATACGTATGTGTGTGTGTGTGTGTACTACATAGAATGTAGTATCTTTGGTTGTAATAATTAAACTTACATTAACTTTTTCTGGTGTTACTGCAAACTTTTAATATTAGTGTTGTACTTAGCTTTTAATACCGAATACTGTGCCAGTGTTGAAGTACTATAAGCAGAGTACTGTACTAAACATGTACCATCTATTGTAGTAAACGTAGTGTCTTTTTTACATTAGTGCACCGTTCTATCTCTCGGTGTTAGAAATGTGTTTTTCCGAATGTTTACACAATTGTAAGACATTTTTCTTCTATGATATTTTCGTTGGAAATCAAGGTTTGGTTAGGTTGGATTTTAATTTTATCCTCTTCACCACTGATGAGCTCGTTAGCTGCTTTGGCGATCGATCACATCTCTGTTATGCACTGTTGGCAAGTACTAGGCATGTACTGGCTCCTGGATGTATCTGAACCTGCTACAGTGCTTGTCAAGCCTGGCCTTGAAAGAGCTTACACTCGATGCTGTCACAATAGTTACCCCTCACAGTTTTCTGGGCTTGCGGCTTCTCCAACCTTGAGCTGTGACCCCTTGTGGGGCGAGCGTCCGCCAGTTCCAGGTAAGGGCACTTGACTGAGTAGTGCTCTTTGAGATGTTTATACACCTCATTTAAGTCCTCCTTACCAGTACCTGTCTGTAGTATAAGCTAGGCAATTTCAGATGCTCTAATTTCTCAGGGCAGCTGAGGTGCCATAGTGCAGGCACTAGTCTGGTGGCCCTCCTTTGAACATTTTCAATCAACTGACAGTCTCTAGCATATCTCGGGGACCAGACAGGTAAGCACTTCACTCTTGAAGATCGTTATGAGGGACGGACAGTCTAGATATCCGAATGACCTTCTTAAAAGGTTAGGTTGGTTTTTGGTGATTTTCTCCCTTTTATTTTACACAGAAAAAGGGGGGGGGGGTTAAGTTAGGTTATATTTCTTTCAGTAGTAGAAATATCATAGAAGAAAAATGTCTTAGAATTATCTAAACATTCGGAAAAAATTATTTCTAACACCGAGAGATATAACTGTGCACTAATATTAAAAGACCAAAAGAACGGTGCACTACTATAAATTGACCAAATGTTGTACTGTACTGCAGTAGGGAACATGTTAGTGAACATTATCTTCATTATAACACTACAGTAGTACATATTCACAACATTAATGCAGATATTATACATCACTAATCCCAGCCAACATTCCTAGAAGGGGCCCCAGATAGACCCCAGACTGTGCTCAATATGGGACCTGCAGATAATTGCACCAAAGAACCATCTGGGCCCTTATGGATGAATGTAATGGTGCCCAGATCTTTTAGGCATGAGTCCTGTATACAGTATACTGTATCAGGTATGTAGGGTAATCATGGGTGCCTTATTTATACTGTACTGTACATCTATTTCAATATGGGCTACATATGGCAGCACAGACCCAAAATGCAATGCACTATTTCAGTTAGCAGGTTAGCCTGTCTAATTTTCACCTATTAAAAGGCTTTGTCGTTAGCAGCACAGGACATTCTGAAACAAATTTAGAAAACACTAGTGCTTCCCCAACAAGTTCCTTACTAAACAAAAACAGGTTCTTGTCCATGGGGGCCTTTATGGACCCCCCCTGTATTGTAGAGAATATGTATTATGCATTACACAAAGCTGCTTATCTTATCCCTCCACTACAGCCTTCCCCAGTCCTCATGAATTTTGTTTCTTGAGGGGTTACATGGTTTTATTTCATTCATTCCAGTCTCTGCCTTGACTGGCCTCTCCACCTCTTTACTATTATCAATCGACCCCTAATTACTTGGCATGGTTTTTTTCTTCTTCTATAAATCTCTCATTGGTCTGGTTATTCTTAGTATCATCTAATGTACTACTTTATCTATGTTCTATCAGTCCAGTACAGCATAACTGAACCTGTGATGTCTTTACCATTAAATTTTATTCCTTCATAATTTCTTACAAGTTCTCTAATTAATGATTATGCTCAGGTATTATGCAAGGCATTTAAATTTTTGTTTGATATACATACTGCTTTTAAATTTTTGTGGCAATCAAATGAATGTTTACACCACATTGTTCTCATTCGTTGATGTGTGACCCACATCAACAAGTGAGGCAAATGTTGAAATTGCAAAGCAAGCATTCATGCAAACACCACAAACATCTGTAAGGCGGTGTGTGTTTACAGTCATTATACTCCCTGTCTAAAACAACTAATAAAGTCCATTATTCAGTAACAGGTGTAATGATTACTTAACACCTCTCCTCTTGGTTTCTACTACAGTATAATCTTGCAACACTCAACTCTCCCTTATTATTTACCAGACTGCACTGTACTTTCTTCTTAGTGATTTCTATATCCACTTGACTCACCACACACACATATGGGAAATAAGATAACAGACAGCAATGGTACTCGTCTCATTTTAATAACATAAGAGGCATATTAACGAGACTAAATAATATAAACCTTCAAAAATGAATGCGAGTTATAATACAAAGGTTCCTTTATAAGGCGCTCTAAGTGTGTTTTCAATTAAGGCCATAAAATTAGTAACCGTACCTGTACACCTATTATAAATTTGAACAAAGTGGCTGCAACTTCACATAACAATGGAGAAAGTGCTTTTCATGACTAACTTTTAGGAATCAAGTTTTTCTTTATTGTAAATCATGACATTTTATTCTGAAAACTAATTGTATGTATAAATATTTTACGAACAAAACTAATAAAACTATACTTTACTATCTGTACCAAATACAATCTTGATTCAGCTATTACTTCCCCTTCCAATGGTTAATTCACCAAGTTTATTATATACAGTACATGACAGTAGTTTTTATGACTGTAAAAAGCTAATACAGTAGGTTTACACATCATGGGGGTACAAAAATGAATGAAAGATTGATCATGATATCCCATCTTACAACCAACCAAGGATCAGGTGACTTGTATATAGTACTGGAGTTTGAAATCTCAAGTTCTCAGGACCCCTGCCATTTGTCATCATTCATCACTGTTTTATGGGTAGTGTACTGTTAGCCTCACATGAAAGCCCATCATAAAACTACTGTACCAACCTGTTAGTTCACAAACATAAACAATCTCAACACATTTCTAATACATAATGTACTACCCTAATGCCTTGTTTGACAAACAATAAATTAACCCTGATAAAAGTGTAAAAAAATATAATTGAAGTATGGCAGTAATTGGCTATTACATGACCAGGCGGGATTAGGCGCGATGTCCATTAATTAGCCAATGTTACAAGGGTTGTGGAGTGCATGCACGTTACTGTGGCAAGTGAGGACTTAGCTTTAGCTGAATTAGAAACTGATATATCTCCAAGTACTGTACCTCCTTTCAGGTGTTAAAGATGACCTGGGTGAAAGACTACTTTCTGGTATTTAGTTCTATTCACATATCAGGGATCCTGGGAACACTGAATTGTCAACATATCAACTTGTTGACTGTATATGGGTCACCAGTTCCATTGCCTAGGTAATAAAAATGTGACTATGGTAGTACTGTACATCCAGTTTGTTACCACTGCCATGTGCATTCACCACTCACTAATGTTTACCATCAAAATAAATGATCACAGATATCAATGTACATATGTCATGTCATACAAAAGTACTACAATCATTAAAAGAATATATAAATATATAATCTTTTTGCTATACAATAGTGTCTCTGTCAACCAAAAATTCAATAGGTTCCACAAAATGAGGATTTTGGTTTAGATGTACAGTATAACTTTCAATCCTCCGTACCCACAAAACATATACAATACTACAGGTAAAAGAAATAATTGTCCTTAATTGACAAAAACAATTTATTACCCCTAATTAACATCTCACACACACACACAGAAACACTAAATTTCCATTGGGATTACACTCCTAGAGAATTCCATCAAAATGGAAGTTAATATCTTAGGGAAAAATTTAGAAGAAATATGGGCCCTTGATTTCTACGATCAAACACTAAATTTAACAACTACTGTACATACTCCATTATATATGCGAGTCAGGATTTCAACTTCCAACACTTGTGTCAGTCTAGTGGTGCTCACAGTGTTTACATATTTCACACAATCTTTCAACACAGTTTCACTAATTCTTTGAGGTACAGTATTTGGGATATTGTATTGTACCAGTATTGGACAATGAAAAAAAAACTATTTTAATTTATATACCTGTACGATACAGGTAAATACTGTTCATGCAATAAATTCTGAAAAAAAATAATGAAATACAAATAAAATTGGATGACAACCTGTGTCTAATAAGTCTGCAAGCTTATGTGAAATAATTGCTCATTGCACATCAGTACTAAATACCTGTACTAGCTTCCCCGAGTGGCCATGTGAGTACAGTACAGTACTGTAAAGTGAGTGCTGGATTGCATTAACTTCAACAACCGAGTCAATGATTTCAATTTTGGGCAAGAGTCACTTCCAGTCTTGACTACGATATTTACTCCTGGGAAAAAATTACAAAAAGTGATTTCCCTACAATACTGATGAAAAGGTACTGTGCACAGTTGCATAAAAACACGGTATGAATGACAGGAGACAGTTCAGCATCGGAATAATCCAATTTATATGAATTTTCCACTTAAGCATGTTTAGTACGTAAGGTACAGTAGTGTATGGGGTTAAGTAACATTCATTTATTAAAACTTTTATATGTATGTATTAATGTATTTATTGCTTAAAAGGCTGTGATATTTTAAGGAATGTAGTTCCAAGTTCTTGACACCCAGGAATGCAATCCCTTTTTTTACTACGAGAAGTAAAGTTTGATGTGTGAGGCTCTTCATGAACATCCCTTGCATAAGTTTAGGCGCTATACGTGTGTGTATACAGATATACATACAGTATATATAAAGTGGATGTGGGTATATATGTGTAGTACAAATATTTATTTCCGTCAAGAAAAATCAGTATGGCATTTTCACTTACTATTATCCTAGGATGCAGAAAAATCCAGGATAGTTCTGATAACAGTAACTACAAGATGTAACCTTATTTCAGTGTTCTGGAATTAGTAGAAGTTTCAATGACTAAATCATTTACATATTTTCTACCCAATACCTGTTTCTACCATGATGAGTCTGACAGAGGTTCACTTGCAGTGAATTCTCCAGCTGATTCAGTTGAAGTTGTAGATTCATTCTTGAATCTTTGGTAATTCTCACAGCATTCTGATGTATGTTCTTCATGTGCTACAGATTCAGCCACATCTTCACACAAAGACTCAACTACATCTCTCATATTTTCTAAATCTGAATTCAAGTTTTCAAGATCACATTTTACTTTCCTCTGTGGACATACTTCCCCATGTTCTTTTTTAGTTTCATCATTTAATTTTTCTTTCTCATCCTCTTCACTTCCAGAGAGATCTTCATCAGAGAGGTCTTCAACTTCCTCTGATGACTCTTCACTCAGCATGTCAGACGAAAAGAAGAGAAGAGAATCTCTATAATCTGATGAGAATATTGAAGTATCGTATGATTCATCATCATCGTCATCGTCATCATCATCAAACATCGATTCTTCTGACGCTGAACATGCGATTAACAATCAACACTTTGAAGGCCCATGATTAACCTACAAACTTCATATTTAGCAGCTTCAATTTCTAAAAATATTTTGAAGGATTGTGGAAGACCAAGTGATTCTATCATCTCTGTCTTACAAGATTCAACAAAAGCCCCTTCATGAAGAATCCAATCAGGCATATGTTGTTTCCGATCTGGAGGTATAGACATACTCAAAAATAGACCTAATACATAGCTGCTGAAGACCTGCAGTCACTTGCCCAAACATTAAGGTTATTAAGTCAGTAGGCTGAACTCTCCCATCTTTTAGTAAAACTGCCATTTGTCAAGAGAGAAATTATCTCAGTTGCAACTGTCTGGTTATTGAAACACCCAAGGTCAATTAGAGGTGCAATGGAGGATGAAATAATCTTGTCAATGAGATGTTTATGAGGGCATGTGATCTTAGTTCTACAGTCTTGTGTGGAGACAGTGTCTTGTGAGGAGACATGAGCATAGCGAAGCCTAATTGGAGCATCAGCCAATAGAGGAGCTAATAAAGGGGTGGTTAAGAAGGGGACCTGCTGAACGAAATATCCTGCACACAAAAGACAGTCACCGGGAAATGACACTGATACTGAGATTTTAGAAAGACACACATTAGTTTTTGTCTGAGCTCCATATTCACACAATCTGGATGCTATGTCCACTGCTCCAACAAACACAGCTCTAAAGAGGGCAGTTTCACCACAACAATTGCGTGTATTTACATCAATAAAATCTACAGTGTCACACATTGCCTCATACAAACAAAGAGAATTTTCTGGGTCATTTCTCAATATGGTATCCATCAATGGTGAGTTGCCATGAACATCACAGAGATTTAAATTAACTCTGCAGGAGTCTAAAAAACGCTTTGCTAACACTATATCCTCATGTTCAGTCACCCAGTGGAAAAGGGTTTTGTGGGCAAATGTTGTGATGACATTAGGATCACTACCATACTCTAAAAACACGTCAATTAAATCACTTGTCTGCTTAATTAGCTTGTGACAACTTTCAATGTTAGGCATACATTTTTCACCATCAAAATCAACTGTATCAGTCAAAAATTCTAATTTGTTTTCTTCTAATTCAAAGTACATGTCTAATTCTTCACAGAAAATTTCAGAATTACCATCAACGTAAGATTTAAGCACTTCATAGTATACTACGAGTTCTTCAAAAGGACTGGGTGATGCTCTGTCCATGTCCCCATAAGGTATCCGAAGATTTGGATTTGCACCTTTTTGGACGAGCATTTTTGCAATTTTCAAGTTACGGCTCTGGTCAATGTGGTGATTGTTGGTGAGGACCATGTGAAGTGGGATGTTCTCATAAGGCCCATCATTCAGGAAGGATGGATCAACGGTGGCTTCTATAATCATCTCTGCAGCTTCAAAATTTTTATTTTCAATGGCAATTGTCAGTGAAGTATCATTGATCCCAATCTGGCCTTGGAAGTGATTTCGTCTCCAAGCCATGGTGAAGATACTCTGAAAAAAAGGTAGAATAAAAATGATGGTTTGATCTTGAAAACCCATTTTATCAGAGCCATCAGTGAGTCTAAAGGTTTGGCAAAACTGATCTAACTTATCAATTTAACCCTAATCAAAGGAACAAAAAAGTTTCTTTTAAACTAAAAAGTCATGATAAATCCAAAGGGTAGGGTCTCTAGGCTTAAATGCAACCCCTATAAAAAGAGGACAGCTAGGAAGAGTTAGTCACCAAAGCTGAAATTTGTCAATCTACATTACTGTACAGTACCAGACTATTGTGCATATGCCCTGCAAACCCTTGCAGAATAAAAACTATGTCTCTGGTTCATATAATACTCATTTGCCAACTCACTGCCATGTTCCTGTGAAGAAAGGTGGGAAAAATCCCTGTACAGTATATATTTTGTTATGGTGACCAATATTGGAAATTGTGGATAAAAGCATTTTGGCTGGATGATTAATCTCTATCATTTGACCACCATAAATCAATGCCATTCAATATAAATATTTGTCCATTAATCTTCACTACCCTAGAAAAAAAAAAGAGAAAATTATAAGATCATAAGATACGTAAAGTTTAGAAGATGACGAACAAACCAAACCTTACTCTATGACTTAAAGGTACAGTACAGTACCTTTTATTTAGGTTGGTCCACATCTTGTCACCATGCTTAAGCCCAACACCCCAGGGGGAAATTAAGTTGACAAGACAGTAGTAATTACTGTGAGCATTCAAGAAATTATTTTTCTCTGTGAATCTTCTTGTCTCGGACTACAGACAAAACCAGAGGCTGAAGTTGCGAAACCATTAACTTCTGTAACCTTCACATACAAAATAAAGGGTACGGTATATTGTACTATATACTGTGGTATATGTTTTACAGTAGCTCCATGGACTCTGTTCTTGTTATTTCTTTTATAAAATTTTTACCAATATATTTGAACAGTGTGCAGAAAGTTGGCAATTTATGTCAAGGAAGTATTTCTAGAAAATGCAACATAAATAGGACCGTCGTCAAGTATTATCCATTTTTCCACAACCTTGATGTTACAAGTAGGGGATGATGCACTCCCGGGAGAGTCTTTGGACACCTAATGTATATACAGTACTGGATTAAAGACAAATATTATTGTATTCATTACAGAACACAAAGGCAATGCATAAAAATACAATAAAACCAAAATTGTGTATGCATAGTACCATGGCAACTATAGTTGCAGAAGTACCATAGAGTACTGTACAGTACTACATGTACAGGTACTCGAAGAACATTTTCCATTTATGGTTATGGTCTTTTGAATGATTGATGCAAAAATAATCCAATAAAATATTATATACAGTCTCTCCTCGACTTACGACGGGGTTCCGTCCCGACGACCAGGTCGTAAGTCGAATTGGTTGTAAGTCGAAAAGGCAAAAATAATACATAAAAATTCTAAAATGGGTGTCTCTTTTTCTTCTCAGCACCATGAGAACTCTCACTTTTACTCCTGCCTGCCATTTTAAAGGGAATTACAAACAAAAATTTTGTCAGTACACAGCGTGATCACTAACGTCGGGACTTGAAAATACGTAATGTGAAAAATATTTTATGCGACCATGGCCGTCGTATGTCCGGGTTGTCGTAAGTCGAGGAGAGACTGTATTCTAATTAACTAATGACTTATTTTTACTTTCTTTCACTGTACTTTGTCATTCTATTTCTTCATTTGTTTTAAATTACGTGATTTTAGATGTATACAAGGACTTAGGCTATGATATAATGTAGTGGGATTTTAAGCATTTTGTAAGTACGGTGTGCACATAACAAGCGTTCCGACTTGTGTACATATCCAACTTAAGAGCTTCCTCCGGAGCGGAACCCGTTCTTAACCTGTATACTATCGGGAATGATACGCATTGAAATGCTCGGCAAGTACGGTAAATACTGAAGATGGTGCTGCCAGGATGTACCCCTAGCACACTGATGTATGTCAATGGGTATTATTATCGTTTGGGTCATCCAGCGAATTTTAGGATTTTAAATTACCACCAGGCAGTAGGTTTGGTTACATTAGGTTGAAATTATGTTTTTCTGGTGGTTTTTGGTGTGTTTTGAACGACTCTGACCTTCTTTTCTATCGAAAATTGCTACTTTTCTGTTTATGAAATGAGCTGACAAAGTGTCCCAGAATTGTTTCTGTGTATGAAACAAAATGTCCTGGATGTAAGCACTGAAACTAGGGTATTGTAAGTGGGTGGGTCATGCATAATTTTTTGGAGAAACAAATAATCATAAACTAATATTTTTTTAGAAAAAAGGATAAATTTATGATACTAGCTAGGTTGGAATTTTTCCATAAAATATACAATTTTCCTATGGTTCTTGTTGTTTTTCGAATGAATCTGACCTTTGTTTCTGATGATGACCAGCCGAACCTAACCTAACCTAACCAAAACCTGGGTACTATCCAAAATCGCCAGTTGCGGGTCAATTTATGATTGTAGCCAGGTTAAGATTTTTCCATAAAAATGACTTTTTCCTTCGGGTCTTCTTGCGATTCGAACAAATCTGGCCTTTGTTTCTGGTGCTAACCGCCCTAACCTAACCCAAACCTGGCTATTATCCTAAATTGACCCCCCAAAAAATTTCTCTTTTTTTTTTAAACTTTCATGAGGCAAGGATCCAGTTATAATAAACAGAAAAATTTCCCAAAGTTCCTGGTTGAAGTGTTATTGTCGTCAAGCATTATCATAAAATATACAGAGTGGATAATAAAAACAAACTTGATTCGACCAAGGAAAGCCAAACCATTACATTATACTTTGAAAAATATCTGACTTCATAAGGAACAGAGGCCACAGTCTGACAATGTTCTATGGCGTCTTATTACTAAAATCAAACTTAATTCAACAATTAGTTTTCTTTCCTTATGCCTGTGGACCACCCAGAAGTGCCCTACTGGTCACATAGCCACAAGGATTCTACAAATAAGAGATGTATTTTGGTACAACCTTTGCTGTGTAATTTGATTAACAGTTAGTGTCACTACACTATATTTCTGCTAGTGATTCATCTTCTGACTCATATACAGAAATACATCGTCTAATAAAATAGATCTCTCTCTCTCTCTCTCTCACTTCTTTTAGTTCCCAGTACAGTACAAGACTGACCTCTCTTTATACAGTACTAAACTGATACTATGGGTAATACACCAGAGCTTTCTTTAACTAGACAGTATCAGACATAAGACGGGTTGTAGTGACACAGTAAGGACTCCACCTGGTACAGTATTATACCATTTTATACATATATTACACATGTTCATTACACTTCCCTTACCTTTGTTACATAGTTCACCGTGGACGACAAACAAGGTAAGTGGGTATTATTGCCTGTTTAGGGTGTACCAAGACTAGGTTCAGTAAAGGAAAGTTCTACTCATCAAACAGTTTCTCAAGAGTCATCAAACAACTCAAGTCTGAAACCCACTAATGAATGAACCCCTACTTTAATAACCTCATTATCTCGATATTTTAAACATCTTACATTAACTAAAAGGCTATCAATATCCATTTAAAAACAATATAACTACTCAATCAATAGGGAAAATGTATAGATATTAATATTATCAGCATCATCCTCGTTAAACAAACTGAAAATAAATTGCACTAAACGTAAAACCAGCAGATTTTTGGCCAACCTTATAATTATGCTGTTAATAATAGTCTTCGTTAATATAGATATAACACATATAGTTACCAGATTTCTTGATATATTTTATTTAATATGGCATAAGGGATCCGGGGTTTGGTAGGTGGTTTAGAGTGTTAGCCGCAGAGGGGTTCGTTTAGTTAAACATTTCTGAAATAAATCCGAATCCATCTTAATCCTGTAAGAATTATTAAGCAAGACAAAAGAAACATACAGTAGATAGATAGATTGATAGATAGATTGATAGATTGATAGATAGATTGATAGATAGATAGATGAAAAAGTAAAAAAAAAAATGGTAATGCCTTGGAGGATCAGAGGAGGTGGAAGATGGGTAATTTTTAATTAGATAAGTTTTAATATTTTAATATTTTTTTGGTAGGCCTACATTTTATGGCTATTTTGATTTTTTTTAAAATTTCGGTTTGGTTCTGTTTTAAAACATTAAGTGGTAACTCGAGGCTGAACGCAAGTTATTAGCGACGGATGGGTGGGTATAACACGGTGTCTGTAGTTACCGGTGGTGCAGTAACAGTAACAGAATCCAGGACACAGCTGGGTGTAATGCTGTTATGTTTCTCTTAACGTGAACAGATGTGGCAACACGTGAACAACGAGAGTAACATATGAACAACGGTGATAATATGTGAATAACGATGATATGTGAATAAGATGACAACATGCGTACAAACGTAGTAAAATATGAACAACAGTGGTAACGTGAACAACGATGGTAACTTATGAACTAGTGTGGTAACGTGTGATCTATAGTACGTGTGTAATCTATATTACGTGTGTGATCTATATTACGTGTGTGATCTATATTACGTGTGTGATCTATATTACGTGTGTGATCTATATTACGTGTGTGATCTATAGTGATCTATATTGTGTGTCATCTATATTACGTGTGTATCTATATTTGTGTGACTATGCGTGGTGATCTATATTACGTGTTGATCTATATTACGTGATCTATAGTTATCTATATTACGTGTGTGATCTATATTACGTGTGTGATCTATATTACGTGTGTGATCTATATTACGTGTGTGATCTATATTACGTGTGTGATCTATATTACGTGTGTGATCTATATTACGTGTGTGATCTATATTACGTGTGTGATCTATATTACGTGTGTGATCTATATTACGTGTGTGATCTATATTACGTGTGTGATCTATATTACGTGTGTGATCTATATTACGTGATCTGTGTGTGATCTATAATTGCGTGTGTGATCTATATTGCGTGTGTGATCTATATTATATCGTGTGTGATCTATATTTACGTGTGTGATGCGAATATCTATATTGCGTGTGTCATTCAATTTCAATTTCAATTGTTTATTTTGATAGAGGAAGCGGGATCCTAGTGCTGTCACTAGGTACCCCTGTACAATGACACCAGAATCATCTGGCAAGTGTGACAAGTATATACAGTATAAATATTATAAAGGGGCTTACTAAAGCCTAAGGAAGGAAGGATATTCCTTTAACACATAATCAATATTATTTACAAAATATCTGGCCAGTATGGGGAGGATCATCGTGTCTCCGTCAGGGGGTCGTGGAGTGGTGGTCCAGCAGGCGTCACGGAAGCGTTGTGTGTGGGGACATCTTAGGAGGTAGTGGATAAGGGTGCTGCTGTCGGGTCTTCTGCATAACGCACAAGAGCGTTGCTCAGGGGATGCGGGGATACCAATCTCCCAAGCAAAGTCATACCCAATGATGATACGGGCAGCAATCACGTCCCCCTTCCGCGACCCTTTCCCGTAGACGTACGAGAGGTCAGGAAGTTTACGGAGGACATCGTACCAGGTGGGCGGGGAGTCCAGGGGGATGGCTGCTTCCCGAGCTTCTCTCTGTTTGCGTGTACTGCGCACATCATTGTCATCCCTAAAAATCCCATCTAATTCATATTACGCTACATAACATTCAAATGCACAGCGCTTGTAGAACCCCAGAAAACGGGAAACATTGAGAAAGGACAACTCCCCTACTCAAGGTTCCTAGACCATGTGTGGTATTGTACCCAGGTATAATTATATCATATCAAGTGTATGTATTCATAGCATTAAGGATCACTCAGGGTAGGCATAAGATGAATGTTAAAGTCCAGTTGAGCCGGACTAGGGTACTGTAAGACTAAGTGTGGAGCAGGGTTTGAAGGTCCTACTATTTACGTCTGTGAGCGTGTAGCGAACCTAACTCCAACAGATATCATATGAAAATACATGAGAACAATGATCGGGAAAAAGGGATAAATGTATCAGAACTATGTGAGGTGTTGACAGTGATCTAGAAACTATACTGGAAAGGAAATATCGTGTATGCGTCGGTATGAATTTAATACACCTCGTAGCCTCACGTGACATATACCCACGACAGGTACAGTGATCAGAGAATCTGAGGTCTGTGTTCAAATAGTGCACTGTGTGAGAGGAGGATCCCTCATTACAGTTTTTAAGTGAAGTTGATACACCCCCGCCATGATCATTCGGCTTTTGTTTCAAGGCGCGTCATGTACCCGCCTCAGATGCCCGTTGATATTAAAATCCCAGGCATTTAACCAAGCACTAGCAAACCAAGACCTGACCTTAGTGTATAAGTTAGGATTAATATATGTGTTTATAAGAAATGAGTGACAATATACCGTAAAGTGTTCAGGGGAGAACCATAAGAAACAAAAATGTAAATTGAGGATTGGAAACTGTAGGCCTATGTGACGAGAAGCGGCGGGAAGCCGGCCTTAGTCTTTCCCGTTCTGCCGTCAACACAGGTGCCACGTGGTTGGGGTATCTTGCCGCCCGGCCGCCATTGTCTCCTGGAGCGCCACACCAGGTGGGGAATTACTCCCCACTATACCAGTCCACTATGAACCGGTGGATTCCCAGCGCACCACTCCACATGAATAGTCACAACTAAGGAAACCGTGAGAAACTGCGGTCGTCACTTGGAGCGACCTATAATACCAGGCGTAGAAATAGTGCTGGTATGTCTCTAGGTGAAGCCCTCGTCTCTACCCACCGAGGGCGGTGTGCGAACGAGGTGCCCGTTGTGTATACCCAAAAGTCACAAGGAGTCACATACTTGCAGGTATGGAGTGTAACAGGTGGGTTGCGATGGTGCTACTATGTATGATAACCGACGGTGCTACAAGCCACACCAGTGGCACAGTCTGATGTGTAAGGGATATTGTAAGAAGGAACGACCGAGATACGGCGTTCACCGTGTTGTGCAATAAGTGGGTGGATGACCCGCCAGTAATGTAGGAGTCTGGGGCCCAGTTGGGTAACCAAAATTCCGTTGTTCTTCTGAGGAAGGCCAATTCATGTATGTTTTTTTTACCAGTGTGTTTTATAAGAAATAAATCAATGAAGACATGTTATGGTTTCACCCTTCTTTACCCTTATCGATCTGATCAATGGAAAACCTAACCCAATGCCTAGTCCGCTCTGCCCGCTACCTAACGAGCTACATGCTGTCCAGAGGGGGTCTGGTGGCAGCGACCCTTAGACATTAAGATTAGAGTTAAGTTATCCCCTTAGATTTAGTGACCCCAGTCTGGCAGTATAAATTGGTGGCTATAGCGGTGGGATGGTTTTTAATCATTGATCAAATCCGAGGGAATTGAAGTTGTGATTTAAAGTTGCAAGTATAGACAAGTATTTTAATGATGGATAATCTGATTTTTGAGTGATACTTGCAAGTGAATAACATTGATTTGAGTACAGAAATGTAAGAAGAATTTTTGAAAATTTATACAGTACTGAAGTCATGTGTGTTTTGTGTTTGTGTTTTATCCAGTGTTAATATGTATTAATACTTGCAGAAGTTGTGGATTAACTTTGGTGACGTTGAGGTAAGGGAGTCCACACTGTGTCTGAGAAGTGTCTCAAGTGGTTCACCTATGGAATACCATAGGACTTTCGGTCTCCAGTTGATGTGAGTTATAATTTTTGGTGCCATGTTAAGAGGTTGCATAGTGTTGTATTATACCATTGATCAATTAAGGTTGTAGTAGTACAGGAGAGTAGTTGTGTTAAGCGGTTCGTATTTGTCTTGGGCCGAGAGGTAGCACTTTAGGTCAAAATGGCTGAGTCAGTAGAACAGGGAAGTACCATAGTTGGGGACACATTGGCAGAGAGATTGGAAGAGGCTTTGCTGATCAACGCGAGACAATACTCGGCGTTAGAAGAATCACAGACACAGGTTAAGGAACTAAAACAAGAACTCCAGGAACTAAAACAAACACTCCAGCATGCACAAGGCCCAAACAATGAGCAAGAGTCAGTTGTAGGAGATGACACCACTCCACTACCAAACAGTAGGAACACCGTCAACGTAAACATTCCATGCCACTTTAACCATACGGATAAGCTAACATTGGAAGAATTGCAGAGCTTACAGGTAGACGAGGTCCTAAGTAAGTTTTTTCGGAAAGTTGAAAGATGTGTGACAGAGGATGAGGGAAGAATATCAACTGCCCTGAGTTGGATGGAAAACAGCGTGGCCAAATTGGTACGGCCATTGTTAGTGGCAGTTAGTGAGGACTGGGACAGTTTCAGAAAGGTTATGTTAAGATTAAAGTTAGGACCATCCACCGAAGATGAAGCATGGGAGGTGTTGAAACGAATCGTGTATAACGTGAATGATAACCCCCGATATTATGTATGTGACATGAGAGCAAGGTTGGCAGTCATGGAGAAGAAGTTTGGAGCAATAACCACTAAAGATACTTACATAATACAAAGACTGTACAGAGCTGTGCCT